AGCTCTTGCGCACACTGGGAACAGGATCCAGCTCTTGCGCACACTGGGAACAGGCTCACTGATGTCTGACTCTGAAGGCAGCTGATAACTGGCATAGGCCTCTGGCCCCCTCTCTGCCTCTGACCCAGAGCCCTCACCAGAGCCTTCCCCAGACTCCAGGACTGGCCCATCTTCCTCCCCAAACTCCCCACTGTCCGAATTGGCTGCCAGCTCCACTGGTCGCTGGGGGGCCACAACAGATGCATAGTCGGCCCGTCAATCGACCTCCTGCTTACCTGCTGGGTCTTGGCCAAGGTGAGCAGCAGGTGCAGTGAGGCTTCGGTGAAGTGCAAATTCTGCTTCAGCCTCAGGCTGACCTCCAAGGTGGTGCAGAGGGTGGGGAGCAGCGGGAGGCTCCATGTCACTTGCAGCCAGCCGTCCCCCTCTTCGTCCACTTCGCACAGCTCCTTGGCCAAGTGGAGGCCCAGCACGCACACCTGGGGGGGGGGGGGGGGCTTGATTAAAAAGACTTAAGCCCACCTGGTTCTGTGCTTGAGACGGTAACTTCTAGTCTCACTTTAGCCATGAAAGCCAGCTGGGTGGCTTTGGGCCAATTACTAGGAGACGGTGAGTTCTAGTCCCGCCTTAGGCACGAAAGTGTTGGCTTTGGGCCAGTGCCTCCCTCTCTCTCTCTCTCTGTCTACCTACCTAATCTCTGTCTCTTTCCCTCTCTTTCTCTCTCTCTGTCTCTCTGCCTCTCTCTGTCTACCTACCTACCTAATCTCTGTCTGTCTGTCTGTCTTTCTCTGTCTCCTCTCCTCTCTCTCTTTCTCAACACAGCCCACCTCACAGGGTTGCCGTTGTGGAGAAATTATAGGCAGGAGTATATTCACTGCCTTGAGATACCAATACAGTAGTAAAGGAGGGATAAAAATCTGAATAAATAAATGGCAATGAATAAACCCCGCCGGTTATTTGCTAACAAGCGGGTGAAGGGAGACCACCCCAAAGCATCCGATGGCTAAAAGGAAGGCTTGAGATATGGTATTTCTCTGTGTCCCCCCCAACGGTGCTAAGGAGCCCCGGCATCTTATTATCTTCTGGCAAGGCGAGGCTGTCAGAATACTCATAGACTGGCAGAGGGATGGTAACAAGGTCAGCCAATGAGGCTTATTTGGAAACAGAACCAGGAAAGAAGTCTGGGCGTGGCTTAGCTGTACTGAGCTCTGAAACGAAATGTGTCTGCTCTCTGAGTTGAAGCTGGAAGCCCATCTCTCCTCTCTACCACGTTGGAAGAACCTGCTGTGGGTGTTGTACATTTATTCATGTGTTACATTGTCTATAAAGAGAAGTTAATGGAACCTGCTGAATCAGTCATCTGTGCGTGCTTTCTGTGATGTGATTTCTGCAACAAACTCTTTAACAAAGATGACTTGCCCCGTCTCGCTGGTCCTTCTGCCTGTGCCGGGAGATGTCGTCCGTCTCCATGCTGTCTTTGTCCTCCAGGGAATCTCCCGAAGTCAAGCAGTGCCGGGTGTGGTCGAAGAGGGCGATGAATTCCTCCTGAAGGGTCTCACACACGCTCAGCACCAGCTGCGAGTACTGAGGGATTTCGCTTGCTGCGAACAGAAACACACACAGAGAGAGGGAGTTTTGAAGCGAAGAAAGGAAAATTCAAGCAGGAGCAGAGTTCAAAAGTCACGCTAGAAAGGACGACTTCAACAAAAACAGGAGTGGTGGAAACCTGGAACCAGCCTCCCAGCGAAGATAGTGGGTCAACCGCCAGTAACTGAGTTTTAAAAGGCTTGGGAAAAACACCTGTCTGCCATCTGACAAAAATTAAAAAATAAAGCTATTTTTTAAATCTCAAAAGGTAGACTCAAAGGTTTTTTCCTGTTTCTATGAAAGTGCGTTCAGTTGCACAACTGCGAAGGTTAACGGCTGGTCCAATGCTGCAGTACAGCAAACAGGAAATACAGGTAGTCCTCAACTTACGGCGAGAATGGAGTCCAAAATTTATGTTGCTCAGCGAGACACTTGTTAAGTGGGTTTCTCCCCATTTTACGACTTTTCTTGCCATAGGGGGTTAAGTGAGTCACTGCAGTTGTTCGGTCAGTCACTTTTTCCCACTGCCGTTGTAACTTTGAACGGCCACTAAACAAGTCGGGGACCACCTGAATTGGACCCCTGGCATCCCACGCAGAGATTTCTTCCATTTTTTCAACCACGGATCAAACCCAGAACCTGGTGAGGCCTCCCCTGCCTCCCGCTGACCTTTCATTTCTTTCATCTGCAGGACGGTGACGAGTGCGGAGAAGACCTTGGCCTTGGTCTTCTCCATCATCTGCTGGTCAGCCTGAAGGACTCCGTCCAGGATCTGCGTCAAGGAGTTGATGATTTTCTCCGCCGAGCCCAACTTGCTGGCAGAGTAGGGAGAAAAAGCAGGGAGGGAGAAGAAAGCTCTTGAGACACCAGGTTAGAACCTGCCAGGTAAGGTCGGAGTAGATATATTCATGAACTGGGATAGGGCATAGCAACAAGGTCAGCCAATGGGAGCTGAAACACTTTGGAGCCTGGGCGTGGCTTAGCACTACAGCTCTGAGTCTGTGCGGAAGCAAGAACTAGTCCCCTGCGGCTGGAACTGAACTGGAACTGTTCTCTCCTCTGAACTGTGTTTGCTTGTCCTTGGAAGTGCCACTCTTGGTATTGTAGATACGTCCCATGTGTTATGTTATATATAAAGAGTCCTGCTGAATCAGTATGTGTTTTCTGGATGTGACTGCTGCAACAAAGGTATTTCTGGCGGCCTCTGTTGCAGCTTCGGACCTAGGAATCGCTCCAGGAAGTGAGTTTTGGGGTGGACAAAAGTTGCCCCCCCCCCGCCCAGAACGGCTCCCAAATGACATCTAAGCAGGGTTGTTCAAGACTTACATCCACCTGACCCAGCACAACAGGAAAGGAGGGCATGTTACGGGTCCCTTCGATTAGGTATCTACACCTGGTGGAACCATGAAAAAGGGCCTTCTCGGTGGTGGCCCTTTTTCTACGAAAACCATTTCCTCGCAAGTAGGGTTGCCACCCACCCTGCTGCTCTTCCTAAGGCCCTAAAGATGTGGCTTTGCCACAAGTGGAGATGGTGCTGATCAGGTGGCCGGTTTGATTGTGTTTATAACCTGCCTTTATTATTTTGGTTCCACCACAAAACCGCGTTCGACTAAAGCGCGCTCGACGAAACCGCGTAGCTGACGTCATCACAGGGCGACAACAGCGCGGAGACAGAAGCACGCTGTAAACGCTAAACCTAAAATTAACACCTAAACCTAACCCCCCTAAACCTAACCCTAACCCTTATCCTAAACCTAACCCTAAACCTAACCCTAAACCTAACCCTAAACCTAAACCTAACCCCCTAAACCTAATCCTAAACCTAACCCTTAACCTAACCCTAAACCTAACCCTAAACCTAACCCTAAACCTAAACCTAAGGATAATTTGAGCTCAAATACTTACATGTCCTTCTTAATCACCAAGAAAAGA